AAAACAAAAACAAAAACAAAAAACCACTGACCGAATATGTGATAAAGTTGCCCACGGTGGGGGCCTTTGCCAACTCCCTTCCTTGCCCAGGCCTGGTCTTCCCATCTATGAAAGGAAGAAAGGGTCTGTGAGGATGTCTTTTCATTCTGGCCTCCTTTTTACTTTGTCTTCCCACTTGAGCCCAGGAGCCTTAATTTGGTGGCTAGTGGGAATAAAATGGGTCCCAATCAGTGTCTAGTGGGAATAAAATGGCCCAGAGAGGGCATGGTGGGCACCAGCCCAGGGCCCTTGGCTTTGGCAGAATCCAGACTAGGAGGGGACACTTTCCTGGAGCACTTGGCCTGGAGCATCAAACTGCATATTCTCAGGGGGACTGTTCCAAAGTTGAGGAAGGAAGGGAGAGAATCGGCTGGAGGACTCACCCACCCATGGACTATGGGCCAGTTAACAGCTCACCAGGATGCTCATATTTGTTCTGATACCCAAGGGCTTCTGGTGCATTCCTGGGCCTGCATCCTAGCCTGGTCTGATCTTAGCTGCTTTTCACAAATTCCTGTGAGCACAAATGAACAATATCACATGTTCATGACATAGCTGCATGTCACCTGTCCCTTAACTCCTTGTTGCTGGCCTTGGCCCACCTGCCCTTCAATTATTATCACTGTTAAAGTATCAACCTTAGCATGGAACCTCACACATTGTAAATACTCAACACAAACAGGGGCAAGGGGGTGGAAAGGGGAACCTCCTTCCTGGACCATCACAGGCTCTTAACCTTCTCTTGAAGCATTACAGGCTTTATCTTCAGAAGGCTAAACTAGAACATCCACCATCTGCGACCAACACCAACCAGTTTAACACATGAACCAAAGAACTGAGAAGGACCATTCCATTTAAGTGTGTACTATATTGTAGTAGCTAAGCTGACAAATCAATGTAAAACCTAGATTCAAATTCTCCTGAAGTCTCCTACTAGCTGTTTGAGTGAGTTACTTAACCTCCGTGCAGCTTATTTGACAAGAGCACTGTGAAGGTAAAATGACTCCCTGTGTCCAGCACTGGTGTTCAGTGTTAGCAAGTGCTTTCATTGGAAGGCTTCCATTGCCGATCTGCCATCATCTCCTCTGCCCCCACTAAATTTTCTCTCCTTTCTCCTTCCCTTCTAAAAATGAATTTTAGGTTGCAGCATCTGATCCTGGAAATTGTCCTGCTTCACAATCGTGGGTTTCAGGTCAACTGAGGAGTCTTGCCAAAGGCACCTGGAGAATCACAACCCCCTAGTGCCATCTCCAACTGCTCCCTGCTGGCCCTGTGGGTAACAGACCCAGGGTTATGACGGCTACCCCACTGGAGCACAAGGAGGTCTCCTGGTGCTGAGGGATCAATATGGTGGAATCAGGACCAAAGAGAGGATGGTTCAAATTCCAGCTCTACTAAGAGTAAAGGGGGTGTTTAATATCCACCTCCTAAGTTAGGGAGCCCAGAGGAACGAATTTTAAAATTTGAAGCCCTGCAGCCCCTGCTTTCTGTACAAGGACCACTTCTGCCCTCTAGCAGTCTCTCAGTGAATTGCACAGCAGATATCGACCCAAAGATAGGGCAGGGGGAGGAGCTTGTTCCCACTTCTCAATCTACCTGATGCTGGGTTCTCAACTCTGCCCAACCCTTAACTTCCTTTTCACAAGATTCATTTTGTGTAACAATACTAATTTTTAAATATTTTAAGTACCTTTTCTGAGGTGTTGATATACAGTAAACTGCATAACTTACAGAGTACAATTTGATAACTTGGGACATATAGACATGCCTGGAATTATTATCAAAATCAAGATAGTGAACATATCCATTTCTTCCCAAGTTTCCTTTTGCTCCTTGATGACCCCCTCCTTTCCCTTCCTACTTCCCCAATTCCCAAGTACTTACAGCTCTGCTCTCTGTCATTATAGATCAGTTTACACATTCTAGTTTTGTTCAAATGGAATCATATAGATTGTGTTAGCTTTTTCTGACAAGAACAAGTACCTGAGACATGAATGAAGTATCATTTTCTAATAGTGCTGAGATTATCATTTCTGCATGTTTTTGTGCTCCTATTCATGATTTGAAGGCACTAAAAAATTTAGTATAGTTTTGCCTCAGTTGTAAACGTAAGCTGAGGGAAACTTTGTAACATTAAATAAATTACACATTATTCTTCTTTTCCCCTTTCCCTTTTTGGTACTGAGGATTGAACCCAGAGGTGCTTTCCCACTGAGCTACATCACCAGCTTTTTTTTCATTTTTTGAGATAGGGTCTTACTAAGTTGCTGAGGCTGGTCTCCAACTCGTGATCCTCCTGCCTCAGCCTTCAGAGTTGCTGGGATTACAGGCATGCCTGCTGTGCCCGGCTTATGGAATAGTTTTAATATTGATGAATTACATATATCTTCATTTTATTGCTTATCCCAACACAATCAGCTCATAAAAGAGCACTCAGACATGTGCAATAAAAACTAAATCCATGCTGGGGGGTATAGCTCAGTGGCAGAGCACTTTCCTAGCACATGTGAAGCACTAGGTTTGATCCTCAGCACTGCATAAAAATAAATAAAATGAAGTTATTAAAAAAAACCCTAAATCCAGTCATCTGACATTTTGCTAACTATGTCATTTGCAAACACAGCTTGATACACAATTACAATTTGTATCCTTTTAAAGATCCCTTCAGAATCCATCAGGGTATGAACACCTAATATATTTTATTTATTGGTCCCTTAGTTTGATGTAACTTGTAAATATTTAGACAGATGGCCTGGGGCCTGCATTTGTCCTTTTACCCCAGGCTGCACATCCAGAATTGAGCTTTGTGTGCCAGCTTGGATTTTCCACTTCTCTGAAGGTATAGGACTCCACCCAGGGCTCATGTATGTCACAGATGCTGGGCCTTGGGGTGGGGTGGGGCCCTCTGGTCCCTCTTCAAGTGCTGACATCATCACCCCCAAGATTTTAAGCTGCAGAGAGGCCTGACAGCAGGTATCCTGGGCCCTATGAGTTGTCCCTCTTGATAGGGGATCTAATTTTACAAGGATAAATTTATCTGCGTCATCTGAGGCACCTGCAGAATTCTGACCATAAACAGTACCTCATAAAATGATACCCATCTTCCCTAGGGTTCTGCCTCCGCCTTGCTTCCCCTGACTTCCTACCCCAGGATAAAGGGGTATCACTCACTGCCCTGCTGAGAAGGGAAGTGAGTGTTACAGTCTAGGGGTGCTGAGTCCATTGTCTCCACTCAGCAAAGAACTGAAGAACAGGACACAGAGATAGCAAGCGAGCAGCAGGTTTATTGCAAAAGTGACCATAAGGGACTTCTCCAGAGAAGGGGTCCCGGAACTAGGAGTCTGGTGGGGAAGTTTTGGCCTATTCTTTTTATGGTCTCTGGAATTTCCTCCTTTCCATATCCCTTCCATGTTCATACTCTCCTTACTATTACTGATTGGTGCCATCTCTGTTCCTGCATCTATTTTCTTTTTTTCTTTTCTTTGATCCCCCCGCATAGGGACACAAGTACAGAAATATCTGTCTTCTTGGGTCCCCAGCTTGTGTCCACAAGCAGTTAGTTGACCAGGAAGTTTTTGTTTTATTTATTTATTTTTGGTACTGGGGATTGAACCTAGGGTGCTTAACCACCAAGCCACATCCCCAGCCCTTTTTTATATTTTATTTAAAGACAGTGTCTCCCCAAGTTGCTAAGTGCCTCACTAATCTGCTGAGGTCCTTTTGCCTTTTGCCCCAGACTGAACAACAGAAGTGATCTTTTTGGCTTTGAACTCGCCATCCTCCTACCTGAGCCTCCCGAGTTGCTGGGATCACAGACATGCGGGAAGTTGATCTCATTAGAAAACCCTCTCCATGCTCTTTTGTTTTGGCCTGACCCTGACTTCCTCACTCACCATCTTGCCCTGGCTGCCTTTGCCCTTCCCCCTATGGGGAGCACTAGGAAGATGGCCACTGAGAAGCCCACGTTACTCTACATAAATCCTAACATTCTGTCTCTGAGGTTGAGTGGCCATTAGTGACAAAACTCTCTCAGCTTGGGCTGGGGATGTGGCTCAAGCGGTAGCGTGCTCACCTGGCATGCCTGTGGCCCAGGTTCGATCCTCAGCACCACATACAAACAAAGATGTTGTGTCCGCCAAATAAATAAATAAATATTAAAAAAGAGAAAAACTCAGCTTTTCTTTCTGAGAGTTTTTTGTTTTTTGGTTTTTTTTTTTTTTTTGCTACAGTTGGAGAAAATTCTCAGACTTCCTTGGTAACTGACACTGAGAGATGTTGTGACCTTCATGGAGAGGTGATATATTGTTAGTTCACCATCTCATAGATGGCTAACCTGATAACCAGCTGTAATAGGCAGGTCTCCTTTGGTGGCATGTGACAGAAACCCAATTCAAACTTGTTTATGAAAAAAAAGAGATATTTATTGAATATTAGAGCTATTTATTGAATCTCAGAGCTGCAGAAAAGGAAGGGTGTGTTTGAATTCTAGAAAGGATGGACTCCGAGTCTGGCCCAGATGCTATTGTCTCTTCATGGAGGCTTAGCCTCTGATGTAGGCTGTATCCACAGGAATTAAAACTATCAGCCTCTATCCCTGCACCCTAAGGCTTCCTTTGAGAAGCTGAGCTGCACGTAGTTTCCATTCAAAATATGTGGATTCACAGACCATTTTTTTAACCCCAAGGAGGCAGGATCCTATGACTGGTAGCTCCCACCAAAAACACCTGTGGGGAAAGGGGTTTCCCCCGTGTGGTCCTATTCCCAGAAAGGATGGGAGGCAGAAGGATGGAGCCCTGTGTGGCCCAGCAGGCTCCCACACACTTGTCACCTCTCCTCCCAGGCCCATCTGCCATTTCCGCCTGAAGCTTGGTCAGTTTGCGTGTCTCGAACCAGCGTATTTCCAGGGCAATTATGATGTCACAGAACCGGAGTTCCAGAAGGCTGGAGTTGCCAGCGCTCCTGACTTCTTTAGAACAAGGAGGGGCATTAGCCAGGGGGGGCTCGAGTGTGCTTGGTGAGGAAGAGGTTCCTGCTCCAAACCGCCTGGTTCTCTAGATTTCACAGAAAGCCCTGGGCAGAGACTGGGACCCGAGGTCAGAGAGGGGCGGGAAAGAGGTAAGCTTCAGAAGGGGTGGGTGGGAACCCGCGTTCTAGGGCCACTGTCTTCTCTGAGAGAACCCAGAGGGAACTTCATGGGTAGACCTGGAGCCCCCTTCTTCCCAGGCTCAAAGAGTGGGGTCTCTGAGGGAAGCCTCTGAGTCAGGGTGGGGAGGGTGGCGAGGGACATTCTTAAACTAAGCGACGATTTGTTATTTGCCTGAAATTCTAATTTAACTGGACATTGTGTAATTTTATTGGCTAAATCGGCAACTCTGGGGTGAGGGCTGTGAGAGAAGTAAAAGAATTATCTCCAGGCTCAGGCTAATCCAGTTCCTCATCAAGCTTCCTGCCTCTCAAACTCAGCACCTGCTGATAATTCTTGCTCAAACCAATCTATGATGGCTACAAAATGTTAATGGGTACAGGGCTTCATTTGGGGTTGATAAAGATGTCCTGAAATTGATTGTGATAATAGTTTCATATGTCTGGAATTGAATTGTATACTTTTGATAAATTATCTACTGAATTGTACACTTTCAATAAATTAATTATCCATTGTGCCTTACAGCTCAATGAAGCAGATATAAAAACACTGTTCAAGGTTTGGTCAGCCGATGGCCCTTTGAGCTAGCCCTTAAGTCTATCTGACATGCCTCAATCCATATTTTGAGCACTTCCTTACTTGTTCAGTTCAAGACATTCCAGAATTATCTCATACCCTTTCCTGCTCTAGCTTAGGAATTGCCATACTCCTAGGAATCCTGGGCTCATTTTGTGGAAAATGTGAAACCAAGACCTGGGCATTTATTATTTTATTTAATGTCTTCCCTATTAAGTAAGTATCAACATATCTTCATTTTATAAGTGAAATTAACTGTATTGCCAAAGTCACACAGCAACCCAGCCTTTGAAAGCAGGTGGTGTGAATCCAAAGCCCTTTCACCAGTGTGAGTCTGGTTATTTGAACAACCATATCACTCTGACTTGCTTTAAGTTACCACATTGGAGTGGAAACAAAAGGGTCGAACCTTCAACCAGCCCACCCCACATAAGGCAGAGTGTGTGTCTAAGGGTGAGGGGTGGGGGAGGAACTCACCATCCAGTGTCCTAACTCTTTTCTTTTTATGGACCTAATATCTTTATTTTTTAATGTGCTGCTAAGAATTGAATCCAGTGCCTCACACATGCTAGGCAAGCGCTCTACCACTGAGCCACCACCCCAGCCCCAGTGTCCTACCTAACTCTTATTCTGAAAGGACATGCTCAAATAGACATGCACAAATGCCAGTGAAGCATAGTTTTCATCAATCTCCCTCCTGGCCGCAGGACCCAAATGTGGTTTGTACCTAAGTGTCCAGTACAGGACGACCTACAAAGGAAATCAGATTGGCCATGGTTTTTAACTGTCAAAGCTGAGAAATGGGTACATGGAGGATTATTAGAGTCTCTTTTTGTAAATCTTTTAAGTTAAAATATATTTATAAAACAATAGATGAAAGGAAAGAGACTGGGAATAGAGAGTGAGCAAGGAAATTTATTCTCTCCAGATTCTCCAGGTTCTAAAGTGAAAACCAGCAAGAAGTCTGTGAGACAAGACCTGTGGGCCCTACTGGGCACCCTTTCCCCTCTGAGGATGACCAGGGTGCTGCGCATCACTGTGGCCTGCTGCCTCCTTGTCATAAATCAGGCCACTCGCATGCATCGCTGTGAGTTGGCCAGGGTGCTGTACAAGAATGAATTGGATGGATATGAGGGTTACTCCTTGAATGACTGTAAGTGCCATGCTTTTTAGCCATCTTTCTTTCTCTCTCGTTCTTTTCAAAGCCAGGAAACTTCCCAGCATTTCACATTCATGCAAAAATTAATTGAACACTTATTATATATCAATAACTGTTTCAGAGTCTAGGGATACAAACAAATCTGCTTCCCTACACACACACACACACACACACACACACACACACACACACACACTTTTACATCTGGTAGTGATAAATGCATGAAGAAGAATAAAGCAGTAGAGGGTGTATGACAGGTGACACTGACTGTTCTGGATGGAGAACTTAAGGAAAGACTCTCTGAGGAAGTGACATTGAGCAGTGCTTAATGAAATGGAAAATCTGATCAACCAAATGCCAGAGGAAGAAAATTCCAGACACAGGAAATGGCTGGTGCAAAGGTTTCATGTTCCTGTGTGGCAGGGACATCTCCCTTTTGGTCTGGAATTTGTGCAACTGTCTTGCAACACTTTCTCTTTTTACATTGCTTTGTGGTTTTTTAGGTACATATTATCATTCTTATACTAAAATTTCCTTGAAAGCAACATCTATAGATGACCCAGTTAATTTCCCTTGTTAGGCTTTGCATATTTCTTGACACACAGTAGATACTCAAGAAATCAGAAAGCATGGGTGTATGGTAGGGAAAATGAATGGCTGGTTATATTGATGGGTGGATGGAGGGACCAAAGAATAAGATGAGATGCCCATGATCATTTCCAGGCCTCCAGTTCCATCTAGCATCCCAGATCTTGTTCCTTTCCTCCAAATCCTTGTCTTCCTTTCTATGCCATCTCTCTCCCACTCAGCTAGGTCTGATTCTCTTCTCCCCATCCTAAGGGATTTGCCTGGCTTTTGTGGAAAGCAAGTTCAACGTCTCAAAGATAAATGAAAATGCAGATGGCAGCACTGACTATGGCATCTTCCAGATCAACAGCCACTACTGGTGCAACAATTATCAGAGTCACTCAGAAAACTATTGCCACGTGGACTGTGAAGGTTTGGCCTGGGTCCCAGGGTGGGAGGGACGAGAGAGGAGCCCAGGCTGTACTCACAGGACTTCTCTTCCCACCCACAGCCTAGTCACATCCTTAGAGAGTTCTAAGAGTCAGGAAATCCCTTTACTGAGCAGGGGCTTGGTTTACTGGCCCTGTTACCCATCCAGTCAAAGGATTCTACAGATCCTCTGTACTCTTAACAGATCCATGTTGTACTTTACATGCTTACCTCATTCTATCCAAATTTCCATGCCAGTTTTCCATTCAAAACTGTTTGTGATTCCCACTTTACAAATGAGGAAGCTGAGGACCAAAGGGAGAACTGAACCTGAGGTGATGGGATGCTTATTATCCCATCGACTTGTGAAGCTGAGGCAGGAGGATGGCTTGAGCTCAGGAGTTTGAGGCCAGCCTGGAGTGACATAGTGAGACATCATCTCTGAAAGAAGAATGGCATTGAATGCAACTTGTGGCTTGAAGGCTCAAGTCTAACCCTTCGGTAGTATGCAGGGATACCAGTCTGACCAAAAGCCCAAGTGTAAACTCCTCACCTCAGAGGTGATCCAGGAGACGTGACAAGGCCCAGGACTCTGCCCCTTACCTCCTCCTTGTTACTCTAATATTTCTGGAATCTCCACCTAAAGAAATATTAGGTTCTAAGAAATAAGAGTTTCCCTCATTAGGCAGGATTTTACCTTGATTCTGGGCTGCCTCTTTTTGTATTTCTTTTCCCTGGAAACCCTGAAAACTTTGGGGGAACCACCATCTACCCTGACTAGGAAGAATGGTAATGGACAGGCCCAAATAGTGACCCTCCTGCTTCTCCTGCCCACAGCACCAGCTACGCCCAATCTCTAGTAGTCATTATAAGAGCGTCTAAAAGAACCCTGGGAGGGAGTTCTAATCTGGATGAGTTCAAGCCCAGGTGGCAGATCCTGTGCAAGGAAGGCCAGAATCTACGTCCATCTTTGTGATTGTCCTCTGTACTCTTAACAAATGTTCTCTTTCCCCCTGACAGATCTGCTGGAACCGGACCTTATCTCGAGCATCAACTGTGCAAAAAAGATTATATCTGGACAAAGGGGGATGAGGAACTGGTGAGGAGAGAATAATGGGCAGGACCCCAAGAAGGAGGAGTGGCAGAGAAAGAGGCCATGGGAGAGGCTCCTGGGGGCACTTTCTTGTAGAAGTCTAGAAAAATGTGGGATAGTGATCTGGCTTAGAAATCTGAGAAGACTTGGGTTTGGTCCATTCTCTGATATTACACTAAACAAAACTATTTTGATTGCACTAACAGAAAACAACTTGAGCTAGCTGAGGGAAATTTATTCTGATAGGAGAAGGTGTCTCACTGAGCCCACTGAAAGGGTGCAAGCTAGACCTCAGAAAGAGAATGCAATTAGGACTGGAAACTGCCAGAAGCTTTCCATGGCAGGTTTCTGTGTCTGTTGGTGCGTTCACTTCACTAATCTCTATGTAGACCTGCTTCCTCTGCCCCCATCCACAAGCCTATCAAAGTTCCAAGTTTATGAGCTGAAGTCATAAGCAATTAGAAGGAGTGGCTAGGCTCAGTCCTAGTCCAAGTTCTACGACAGAGAATCTGATTGGTTCAGTTTGGACCATGGATGCTCTTCCTTGGTCCAATCAGCTATAGGCATAGGAAGATTTAAGCAATACAACATAGCTTCCAACAGGTAGGAGCTGCTCAATTGGGTAGACATCCTGAAAGCTTCCAGCTCCTCAATGGTAGACGTTCACTAACCTTTTCTGTGCTTCAAACTGGGCATGTAAATGGTTGCCCCTGCAAGGTTTCTGAGTTCCTTACAGACTCAAACACCTTAAAAAATGAGACATTGATGAGTATCCAGGCTGATCCTTTCTGAAAGAGTCAATGGTTGCACGTGGGATTTTCTTTTCTTTTTCCCTTCCTTTTCAAGTAATTCTTAGTCTTATAAAACAGTACTGTCCATTTTTGGAGGGAGATGAGGATTTGAAAATATAGAAGCATTCTGAATGAGGAAAGAGGGAAAGGACAAGAGAGGAGGGAAATTCAAAGGAAGAATTAAAGAAGCCTGGAAAACAAGCTAGAGAGCAAGTAATGAAGAGAATTCTTGCTGTTGCTCTGCAGGGAGACTCACCAGGAACTGGGACAGGTGAACTGCTGCTAAATGGGAAGCAGGACCTATGTATTTTTTTTCTCCACAGGTTAGAATGGAGGTTGCACTGTGCAGGCCGGCCTCTCTCCCACTGGATGACAGGATGCCACCTGAGATGAGACAGGGTGCAGGCACTCTGTGGAGTCATTCCAAAATTCCTGTCCTTATTCTGGGATTCCTTCACTTCTTCCTCTTTTCTCCACTTTATTTTCTTCCCTTCCCACTCACAAATAAAATGAAGAAACCCAGGGATAAATGATTTTCTTAGACTTCCTCCGTGCATCCACCCAGGCCCAGTATCCTTGCTCCTGACTTTGATTTGCAAACCAAAAGGGCGACTTCTAGGGTTTTTAAAATGTACTAAGGTTTTCCCTGGGCAAGAAATATGTTAGTTTATTTATATTCACACACACACACACACACACACACACACACACACACACACATTTGGGTTCTTACTACAGTAGGAGTGTACCAGATTCTGGAAGAAGGAAGACATAACTATTGTCCTTCGGGTGTTCATAATTGAGGCAGAGAAGCAGAAATATCCACAAACTTACAATGGACAATGGAGTGGGTAATAAAATCTACAATTATTGGTTTAAAAGAGTACCAAGATTTGTGTAATTCCCCCAAGACAACTATTTTTGAAGTAAAAGAGGAAGCTTAGAGGTAGGTAATGGGTGGGCTAAGGCTGTGGTATTTGAGGTGGAAAAAGTAGTGGCAGACCACAGAAATAGTGCCAGCTACCAATGATTTTTGGTTGCTTTGGCAGACTGAGTTAGAATCTAGATGATTAAAGAAAAACGTTTTTCTGGATAGGATCCAATTTGCTTGGAGGGGGTTGACATGGAGTCAAGCCTATTTAGGGACAAGGCAAAGACAACAGAAGAATGTCCTGCACATAGGCACCATCAGTAGTGTCAGACCAAACTGGAGTGTTATGGGGTCCTAAAGCCTCTACCTCTGATCCCTAACTGCATCAGATATAAGACAAAAGAGTTGATTATTCAATGGTTTCCAGACCGGAAAAGTGTTTAAAAAAAAAAAAACCTAAAAGGTTTTCAACTTTTAATGTTAATGCTTAAGTACTAAAATAACTATCTTTGGGCTGGGATGTGGCTCAAGCGGTAGCGTGCTCGCCTGGCATGTGTGCGGCCGGGGTTCGATCCTCAGCACCACATACCGACAAAGATGTTGTGTCCGCCAAGAACTAAAAAATATTAAAAATTCTCTCTCTCCTCTCTTTTAAAAAAAATAACTATCTTCTCTATTTCAGCATCTCTTAAATATTTTTAACATCAAAATTGTAGGGAGGTCATACATGTAGGGAAATGAAATATACTTTATTACAAAATTTCAGAATGACATGTTTTCCTTTTCTGATTTTACCGAGGATAGGTGAAAACATCATAGACCAGCACAGATCTGAGAAGTGTTATTTAGAAACCACAGGAGACCTGTTCTATAGAGTCTTATCTGGTAGCATAACTGCAGCCAAGATATCTTCCCTTTCCCTATCTCCACTTTATGAATACTGTTCTTATTCCCAAGAAATAGAAACTTTGCCCAAGATAAAACCTACCAGCCTGGAGACATGCTGGTCTCTCCCTGTGGGAAGCCATTTCTGACACGTGGTTGGGTGGCTCCCGTTAAGGGTCTGAGGCGCTTTGGCTGTGTCAAAGCTTTCCCGGCCCTTTCCTGATGAGAGAGCCCATCCGTGTGGGGGTGTGCCTGACCACTGACCCCGGGGACCCAATCACTGACCCTGACCTTGGAGTGCAGCCCCCCCTCAACCTTCATTGGATGGAATTCTCCCCTGAATCTCTTGTTCCCCAGCGTGTTCACTCTCTCTCCTGCTAGCCCTGAGTAATCCTTGCTGCCCTGCTGGGCGGTTAGAGGTAGGAACCAGAGAGGTGAGCTGTCTCGGACCTAGCAATATAAATAAGGTAACTGAGTCTGTGTATTTTATTTCCATCTCATCTAGCTAACTTTATGCCTAGAACCTCATTAATGAAACCATTGCACAGGCCGCATGGTAGATCTCCCTGTTCTCTCATTGAGAGGAGACAACTTACTGGCCCTTGAGATGGGGACATACTGGTTTCCCTGTTCTCTCCTTGAGAAGATAAAGGAACATGCTGGTTTTCCTGTCACCCCTCTGAAAGGAAAACTGCCTGTCTCTGTTCCCAAGAAATAAATTTGCCTTCCATAAGATAAGGGGATGCTTAGTATGTAAGTCAAAACTAAACCCTCCCCTAATGTGCAGCCATGATTCTAGCCTATAAAAGGTGAGATTCAAAGGGTGCTTGCTGTTCTCCCTTGCTTGCTGCTGCTGTCCCTCTCTCTAGGCTCCTGACAATAAACTCCCTTCTTATCCCAGGTGTGCGTGAGATTAGTCCCATGCCACTTTTCTTTTAGTATCCAGCTTTGACATTGTAGGATTAAAAAGTGCTTTAGGAGCCAAGCATGGTGGCACACGCTTGTAATCCCAATGGCTCAGGAAGCTGAGGCAGGAGGATTGTAAGTTCAAAGCCAGCCTCAGCAAAAGCAAGGCTCTAAGCAACTCAGTAAATAAATAAAATACAAAATAGGACTGGGGATGTAGCTCAGTGGTTGAGTGCCCCTGAATTCAATCCCTGGTACCCAAAAAGAAAAAAAATTGCCTTAGGACCAAATTTCTATTACTACAACATGTAGCCAATTTTGACACCTAGAATACCACTTGTCAGGCACAATATGTTCCAGTGTTGGTGCCCTATTTAGTCCCACTCTGTTTCTAAATTTATTTTTCCTTCTTATTCTGTTACCCAGTTTCTCACATCATTTCAATATCCACAAGTGTACATATGCCACCAGAATCACCAGGGCAACCTGGGAATTTAAGAATTTCACACTAGACTATTAACAGGTTAGTCAGCTTTACTTTGACTTGCATATTTAAAACTCCCCAAAATATTCTTAAAGGATCATATTTCTAGAGGTCATTTCTCACAAGCTCAGTAGGTAGTGCTAGCTACCTAGTGAGGTAAGACCACAACCCAGATTAAAACCCTAGGATACAACTTGTTTTTTGATTTTGGCCACCTGACTAGAAGGCATTACTCACCCTTGAGTGCCCTACAGGTTTCCTTGACTAAGGTAACATTAGTCAACCCTGAAGAGTTGTTTTGAACCCAAGTTCTTTCGTTTTAAAGAACAAGTACAGGACAAACTCAGGTTAACAAACACATTAAACGATCCCACTATGGGAATAAGAAATTAAAATCGTGAACCTTCAACCGAATCAGAATAAGAGAACAATAAAGACTTTCCAATGAAAGTTTAGTTCCTCATCAAAATAGTATAAAAAATCCCTAGATAGAGACCCTCATCACGTTAGCCAGACCCTGTCTCAAAAAGGGCTGAGGATGTGGCTCAGTTGTTAAGTTGATCTGATTTCGATCCCTGGTACAAAAAAAAAAAAAAAAAACCAACAGTACCCTCTTTAGGACCCTTCCCATGCTGTGGGAGAGCTTTCCTTGCTTGCTTCTAGTAAATTTACTACTGAATTCCCACCCTCTGTCCTCTGCGTCCTCTTCAGGTGCATGAGACAAGAACCTTTCAGCATTCACACAACTCTGTGTTCCAATAAGTACCTTAGTCTGCTCCACAAGTAAAGATGAAACTAGCTGCTATAAAGATGTCCTATACTTGATCTTGTAAGCCCATTCTTAGGGATCTACCCTAAAAATACACTCGAATAGGCTGGGGATGTAGCTCGTGATAAAGAGTCTGCTTACTCTGCGTAAGGCTACTTGGTTTCGAACCCCAGCGTCTCAAAAACAACAACAAAAAAATTATATATATATACTTGAAGAGAAGCACTAAAGTCTTCGAAGGGCATCGGGAACGTGTGGCTGGAATCAAGTATTGATCACTGAGACCGCCCGCGCTGGAAGAGGCTGGGGAGCGGACGACTAGGATCCCGCCCACATCCGGCCACGCCCCCTGCACGCTCCCCCTTTTAAAAATATCGCGGGCATGCCTTACGCAGGCGCAGAACTGTTTGAGCCTAAGCTGCGCAGGCGCGGTGACAGAAGGATGGCGGAGTTGGTTCCTTTCACCGTTCCCACTGAGAGTGACAAAACCCTGTTGGTGTGGGAGCTGAGCTCTGGACCCACGGCCGAGGCCTTGCATGTGAGCTGGGGCCAGGGTAGAGGGAGGAATGGAACAAGCCGTTCACCCGCTGACTGGGAGCTTCAGCCCCTCACCCGCCTCGGAGCCCTGCTGAGATGCTGTTAGCTCTAGACGGGACCCCAGCCGCCCATTAACCCCAGCAGATTTTACCGCGACCCAGAGAAGTACCTCTTAACAACCATTACCTGTTGCCTTGTATTGCTTCTCAAATAAGTGTTGCCTCGTTGGTGAAGGGTGAAGGGTGTTGAGTTGCACAGGTCGTGTAGAAGGGCTTGGAGCACCGGGAGGGGGGCGGGGGGACACGCAGTTTTGTTTTCGGGGCATGAGAGTTGATGCACTTAACTTGGCGTGGGGCCACCCCACAGTATTCTCTGTTCACAGTATTCTCCCGGTTTGGCCTTCTATATTCAGTCCGGGTCTTCCCAAACGCCGCAGTGGCCCGCCCTGGTTTCTATGCCGTCATTAAGTTTTATTCAGCAAGGGATGCCAAAAGAGCCCAGGTAGCATGCGACAGGAAACTGCTTTTTCAGAAATCTCCATTGAGGGTGAGTTCAAATGGGGAATTCCTAGCTCCAGCAGAATGAAGTGTAGAATTCAATAATAGGGTAGCATTTTTGCAGCATTCTTTTAGTTCCAGGTTTTGGTTTTGTTTCTGTTTTTTGTTTATTTGTTTTTAGATGAAGAAACTCAAATTCAGGACAGTTAAGTGACTTTCTTAAGATTCATGACAATAACCATGCAAGCTGGAGGTCAAACGCAAACTTACTGTTATAAAATTTCATGTCATTTTATGTGTCCCTGTATGAAACTTTTCCATCAGAGAAGGTCTGCTTATATTTACTTTTGGGTGGATTTAAAATGTGTGAGCTTGACAAACTATTGTCAGTTGTAACATAAAGGGGATGCGTTTTCATCATAACTTTCAAACTACTCATCAGAACTCACTTCATTTCCCAGAAGATGGGCAAAATTTTCTTTAGTGCATTGTAGAAACCTTATTCCATGTTAGTGTGTCAACCATTTTGCTTTTCTAGCGTCTCAGGTCAATATCTCATTATACTTTAATTCAACCACCTT